CCCAGTGATGGCGTCTCCCTGCCAAAAAGGGGACAGAAATGCCGGAGCCGGGGCCCGTCCGCCCCCGGTCCCCGCACGGAGCAGAGCAGGAGCGGAGCTGGGCTGGTGGCCGCAGCAGAAAAGAAGGGGAAAGAAAAAATAAGGCAGATTTTGAGAATATCAGGTCTGCCCGTGCGAGGGCTTGCAGTAAAAAAGAGCGAGGGTGGCCCTGGGCAGGCAGCAGCAGCAGCCATGGGGGCTCACCTGCTACACGTTGTCGGGGGCCAAAATCGCTCTACAGAAAAACAGAAACATCAGAAATTCTGAATTGCCGGATTTTGCTTTATCTTTGCATGTTTGGGTCCGTCCTGCACCTCCCCAGCTTCAGTCTAATTCCCTCCATGAGAGAGCGGATGAAGCAAACGCACTTAGAGCACTGCCCAGCGTCCTTGCTCGACGTTAAAATTAAAAGCATGCTTTAGAGCTTCACCACTCTGGCATCAGGGGGGTGTATGTATTTGTTCTTTTTTTTTTTTTTAATTGCATTAACTGCACCTCGTCCCATGCTAAGCAGGAGCACGTGTTCTGAAGGAATGGTTTAACGAGGTTAAGAATGCCAAGAGACAGAATCTGATTTCTTGTTAAAACCCCCTGACTTGCAGCAGGAGCCGGTGCAGATGGTGACAGGAGCGGGGAGTGGCTCCAGCTGTCCCCAGGCAGCAGGACGGCAGCACCGCCTGTTTGGGCACGAGACCTGCGGCCTGAGTAGAGAAAAACCGAGAGTTTCTGCCAGATAACGCCTGCCTACACCCCGACTTGTACCAGAACCTGTAAATCTGACCCCAGGTTCCGAGCGCAGCCAGGAAGGCGTCCTCTGCGGCACTTCACGGGGTGAAGGTCGGGATAAACAGCAAGGCCAGGACGAAGGATAAAGAACACCAAGACCTCGCTCTGCTCTTTGAACACACGCGGGAGATAGTTTCCCATGCTGGTGCCAGAAAAAACAACATAAAAAAAAAAGAGCAGTGAAAGCTCCTGGAAAGGCGGTCTGTGCCGTACTGCGCTGCAGGCAGCGCAAGCGCCGCGCAGACAAAGCAGAACCGTTCTCCAAAGATGCATTTCCGTGGCAGTCAGTCCAAACTCTTTCGGGAGAAGGAAGGCTGGTAACAGATGGGGAGCTGCAGCCAGCTCAGCACAGACGTTTTCTGTCGCCTCGGCACTGTGTGGAGCTTTCTAGAACCGGGTGAAGGACATCTGCCCAGTTATCAGGAGGAACAATCACTCAAGGCCACCTTTGAACCATTCTTCCCGTTTATTATTGACACCGCCTAGGAATACAACTGTAAAACTCATTTGGCATTGGTTTGATTGGTCCTTTGAACGCTGATTATTAAATTTGCTGCGTTTCTTTTTTTAAAAAAAAAAGCAGGTCTGTGTTGGCAGCGCCCGGTGGAAGAGCTCCACCCGGCGGCATTCGGTCAAGGCACAGCCGGAGGCTCGGCGCGGCTGCTGGCTGCTCTCAGCTTCCAGTATTTCTCCTTAAAGGAGTAACACAGGCTAGGAGAAAGCCTCACAAGGCACTGCTAACAGTCACTACTTCTCTCCCCTCTCGCCTCTAAAAGAAACACAACCGTCACAACAGAAAAACCGCTCGCTCCTCTTTGCGCCCGGGGCATCGGCTCGGGGCTCGACCATCAGACGGAGAAACTCCCACGACACCGCACACCTCCCGGGTTCGGGCGAGGCAGCGAGGGCCGAGGCTGCCGCTCGGACGCGCGCAGGATCCGTCCCTGAGAAGCGTTGTGTGACAGACCACGGCTGTTTCTCCGCCCCGCGCAGACTTTGTGCTCTTTTAAGTGACAGCAAAGACTGGAGGGTTGCATTTGTCTTTTGGAACAGAGGAAGAATGGAAGTGACTTTTTTCCCCTCTATTTTATCAGTCCTAGGAGATTTCTTGATTTTCAGAGGATTTGCTTGAAAGATTTCTCTGGTGAAGAGTGATACAAATTATTAACCGCAAACAATCCTCTCTGTCATAGACACCTTGACTACGGTCCCAGTTACAGGACGCGTGGAATTACAACCATCAACACCCAGGCAAGTTAAAATACACCCTGCCTCACTATTACCAAGTAATAATTAAGCTTCAGGAGCCCCATTTTCTTTTACACAGCTTCAGAATTTCCTCCTCTAGATGCCTGGTAGATACCAATCAGGGAAGACACGGTCCCCAGGAGACCAACCAGCCACGGAGGAAAGCGTCCAGCCCAGAGGAATCCCGGCGGCAGCCAGTGGATTGCGTTGCAGAGATCTGCCGCCTCTGTCAGGATGCTCAAAACCTCAGCCTTCACTTGGGCTCTCGTTGCCTGTCGACTCAGAGGTGAAGATGTACTGTTGGAAGCAAGTGTAACATTCTTGATAGCCCATAATGCAATAGTAATTAGCGATCGCTCACAAATGACGACAGAAATGTTTGGGTTAGGTTAGCTATATAGCCAGGGAGAGGAATCATACCACCCGTGCTGCCTCAGCTTTCTTCTTAACTGGAACAAGATTCTCAGCGACCTGAAAAGAAGAGAACAGAGCTGTTTCTGCCACAGCGCCGAAGGGGAGGTTTTTCACTACCAGTAACCACAGGCGTGAGGAAGAGCACCCTGCTGCAGCCGCGCGGGTCTTCCATTTCGGCCCAATGCCCGAGGGAACACACTCCGCTCCCCGTCCGTCTCCTTCCCCCCCGCAGCCTGCAGCTCCCTGTCCAGCCTTACCGCAGGATGCCCAGGAGCAGGGCGAAAGCCCAGAGCGCCATGCTCAGAGTCCACCACTTCTGCGAGCTGACGCGGACGACGCCGGCGTCAGCCGCCCAGGCGACGTGCTCGCAGGGGTAGTAGAGCTGGTTGGCCAGGTTGCAGAGCACCGACAGCCCCCGCACCAGGCCATCCTCGTCCTGCGGGGAGCAGGGGGGACAGCCAGGCCTCGAGCCTGCGGCGTGGCTGGGGGTGCTGCCGCTGCCCCCCCCGCCCCGCTCTCACCCTGCGGCCCCGCCC